AGCTTCTAGCATAGCATCCATTTGTTGAAACAGCCCAACTGGTATTCTGTCAATTCCTGAAGATTTGTTTTTTCACCAATGCCTTAAGTGCAGTATGGATTTCTTCCTTAGTACCATCAATTCTTGATCATATGCTACCTCCTAAAATGGGAGAACATCAACCAATTCTTTTTGGTACAGTGACTCTGCATTTTCCTTCCATCTTCTTTTGATGCTTCCTGCATTATTGGGCCAAGTAGAGCTGTTTACACTACATGATATTAAAACAACAACAACAACAAAAACCCCACCAAACTCACCACTGTTGAGTGGACCCTGACTCATAGTGACCCCTTCTTGGGTTTCTGAGGCAGTATCTCTACGGAAGTAGATTGCCCAGTCTTCCTTCTGAGTGGCTGGTGGGTTTGAACCACCAGCCTTCTGGTTAGCAGGAAACCTAATACCCAACAGTATGAAAATGTTTTGGTAAGCAAGGACTTGTAGCTGATGGGGTTAGTCATCAGTAATGAATTAAACTTGTTTCAAATTATCATTGCCCTCTTTAAACTTTCCATTCTTGCATGTTATGTATAAGGCTCCTTGGGAGCTGCCCTGCCTTTTTGAGCTCACCTTCCTCGGTTTCTCCAATGATTGTCCTCCAACAATAGTCCTACCTCAGGCCTGGTGCACTATCTGCTTCTTCTGCTCCTAACCCCAGATTGCCTCTTGTCCCACTCCCTCATGTCTTTTGACCATCCTACCTAATGTTGATCCCATCTCAGTCTCTAAAATATCATTTGTTTAATATTCTTTATAGCCTTATTACTATCTGAACTCAGTATGGTTAGTTTTTTTAGATCTTGGCCAAACATCCCCTCTCCCCTAGCCCTAGAATGACTGCTTTTGGGAATTTGACTGTTTTGTTCAGTACCCAGCTTAGTATCTAGCACTGAGTAAATGCTCAGTAAATACCTGGGGGAATGACAGAAAGAGAATGGTGCATGACAAGGAACAAGCCAGAGACCACTTTAGAGAAAGTGTGGAGGTTTACTCAACAACAATCACAATTATACATTTTAAGTTAGTCCTTCACAAGGGCTCACTTTTCCAGGCAGGAGATGATGTTGGTGGCCTTGAGTTTTCTCTGTGGAATCCCAGAATGGCTTCCCAAATATTCCCTGCCTGCAGACCTTCTGGGATTCCCGTCTTCAAGCCAATAACACAGGAGCACTATTCTGCTGTCTGGAGCAGCTGAATTAAAGCCTTTGGGAGCAGAGGTTAAGAGGACCTTGTCACTTGTAAGGTAGGTCCAACTCCTGCCCTAGAGGTGGCAGTAGTCTTGGCTCAAGATCAAGTTTGAACTGAAATATTACTTGTGTTTTCACAAAGATCATGAGTTGAAAGTAGAAAGGAATTTCAGAACCACACTCCCTGCCCTTCTACCATACTTGGAAATCTTCAGGAAACATTAAAAATGCATGGCCTCCTAGGAATTATAAAAGATCACCCAACATTTACAAACAAACTAGGTATCATTGAAGCAAGAAATCCAGTTCTCAGTAACTACTGTAAAGTGCACTGCCTCTCTCTCTCTCTCTTTTGGAGATTCTAGAGACTAGAAAAATGGAGATGCCCAGAAAGAAATATGAAGCCATTTAGATCACCTATTTCTTCTGTGGAAAAAGAACTCAACAGGTAGGAGGTTTGAAAAGTGAATGTAATATGCACTTTCGAGATATGCATGCTACATCTTCAACAAAGACTGCTCTTTCTTCCCTGGATCTAACATCAGATCCACTCTCCTATCTTGTCTGCTGAGGTACACCGGCCCCTCGTTTATTTTCCCCTAAAGGGGAGAACCTTCAGTTTCTGGACCAGTTTTTAAAGTTGAAAAGGATCACACAGCACAAGTTCCATTGGAAGCTTGAGGTGGAATGGCTTTTCACAAATGTGCCTGTCAATGGAGTCATCTCCAAAGTCCTTACTTCAAAGATGCTGTTTGCATTCAGAAACGTTTCTGGAGCCTCTCTTTAGAAAGGTTGCTTGTGGGTAACATGGTCAGATAACTTTCTAGTCATTTCCTGCTTTGTGACCTCATCCTCAGAATAACAATAGCTTCAGAGGAATAGGGGCCCCACTCTTATCCACTGGCCCCAGCTGACTGCACGTCCACAGGTTTCTGTCTAAGCACCTCTGAACATCAGATAGGGGTGTAAGCAGGGACCTGATTTCTTGAGACTGGTCATTTTAAAAAATGAGGCTAAAATAAGAGTGGCTTAGTATTTCCAACTAGTTAGTTGATCAGTCAATCAATGAACTCCTCCTCTCCTTCCTTCTGTTCTCTATTACACACTTTGTCAAGATCAAGTCCCAGAACCTATTGATGTTATGAGGGTTCAGCAATTACAAATGTCTGAGTGCTCAGGGGACCTGCCCAGCCTCACTGAGGGTGTAAAACCAGCCTCAAAAGCAGAACCAGAGAATGGGAAAGAGGACGGCTGAGGACTGCTGGCTTGGTACTCCTGCTTCCCATGGGGAAGTTCTTACTGAGAACTCTGCTACCCACTGGGAGTGTAGTCAGTGCTTCCCCTTCCCCTGATGGTGACGGACAGGACAAGCACGGTGTGGGGCTGGGATTGGGGCATGGCCTTATACAGCGCCCAGTGAGGTAATGCAGGGTCCTTCTCCCGGGGGTTGCTGAGGTCTTTCCAGGCCAGGGACTGAGCAAGGAGCCCAGTTGTCTTAGTTTTGACTGTTGCTTGCACCAACTGAAACAACTCTGGCCTTTGGGGGGCACGCACCTCAGTCTCAATCCTGTTCTGGGCCCAACATCTCCTGCTTGAAATTAGACATTAGGAAATTAGACAGACACACTCACCCAATAGGAACTGCATACAGCACCAACCCACCCCCCCCCCCCCCCCCCCCCCCCCCCCCCCCGCCCCCACCCCTGCCCCATTATGTTTGTCTAGCAAGGCACTAGGAAATGGTTCAAGTTTAGGGATTTGCTGTACATTTGCATTTTTTTTCTTAAAAGGCACAGTTTTTATTTTAATGATGCTGCATTGCTCTTTGATGATGCCTTCTAACTCAACTCTCCAAATGGTCATGTGTTCCAGAAGGGGCCTCATCTTTTGATTCCTTCTTACAGAGCGCCACTTCTAAAGGTTTAGCACTTGATTGGAAAAGGGCATCACGGATCAACAAACAAGCTTCGCAAATACAGTGGCCACCTCTCCTGCCAGAGCAGAGGTGTGCTGGGGCTACGTGGAAGTGCTCCTTTGCCAGCCACATGTTTAATTGGAGGCTGGGTTGGTCAGGAGTATTTATTTCCTCCCCCCCAACCCCCAGATAACCAATGGTCTTGAGATCAGTCAGCATCTCAAAGGCAGATTTGTGGCTCTGTTCCCAGATTTATGTCTTAGTTATTAAATTGGTATATGGCATAATCAACTCTAATCAGAATACTGTTTTTGACCATTTCCTGGGCTAGCTGGTAGAAGCCATAAATTGTAGAATGCAATTTCCATTTCAGAACCAGTGGATGGCAGCTTGGTTACAGAGATGCTTTCTATTGGTCTGGGAACCCCTGGGAGTCTGAGACATTATCAAACCAAAAGGTAAACATGAAGGACTAGCATGGAGCTGGGTGCACATCTGGCTGTGGGACACTGGGTTCTTTCCTCCATGGCAAATGAGACTGCAGCTGGGTGGTGGCAGGGTGATTCTGGGAGTTCTATTTCCTCTGAGGACTGAGGCAGAGCAAGCCTATGGTATGAGCTGATGGATACATAGCACCCTCCACCCCGTGTCTCCTTGTCCTAACACCACCAACCTTGGATTTCACAGATTATATCTAGGCTGGGGTTGCCTTGACAACATTACACCTGGCTGGCTGCTTTAATCATCCTTTAACAGCATTCTAGAAATCCACTGGATGCTAGAATACCAGAATCCTCCATAGCATCCTAGATTGTGTGACTGGATGAGAGAGTTCTTTAATGAATTCTAGAGTTCTGTTGAGGACTAGAATCATGATGAGGTCAGAGGCGAGGTCCACCCCAGAGGTCTCCAGACTTTTGTCAAGTGAGCACCTCTGTTCCTCTCTTAAGGCAAGTAATTGCCAGGGAGAGAGAGGGAAATGGAAGCGTGGATTGGGAATTGAGCCAGCATTCCCGGTTTGAAGGTCTTCTAGACTTTTTCCATAGGCCCAAGGGCATCTGAAACATGGCCCTGAGAAGCTGTTGCGGGGGCTGTCCTTGGGCTGAGAGAGCACTGAAATGGGCATCTCACACACCTGGAGACCAGTGGAGACATCCTGTACGTTCATGGCTGCAAAGGTCTGTCTGAGATCACTCTTCTGACTCCATGCCTGGCAGCTGGCCAGTGCTCAGAATCGAATACTCTGAGGGCCTAGGTGTGGCCTCTGAGTGAGTCACCCGGGACAGTGACATAACAGAAGCTGGGTAGTGACTGCCCTGCAGAAACTAAAGGCAGAAACTAGAGGACCAGAGGTGGACAGCTTTTCCTTCTGCTGCAGATGGGTGGCACTGGTGTTTTCAAAAGCTACCCTGAACAGGCAAACGTTGCCTATCTTTCTAAAGGACCTTCAGGTATGGTAACCACCTGAGGGCTGGGAAACCTTACAGTACTCATTTTTAGATGGCCTAGGAAAGCCCCAGCATTCTTCCAGGAGGATGCTCAAGGGGACATGGTGACAAAGTTGAACAGGCCCTCCTGGGTTCCAGTGATACCAGCAGGGGTTAAAGCAGGCCCAGCTCTTGCCTGGGGCCTCTTGTGAGGTCTGTTTTCCACCTTATCCCCAAGACACAGGGGCTGAAAGGCCAGGCAGACACTGTGCTGCGGCTTTGGGAGAGCTGGGCAGTGTGGCTGCAAGAACCTTCTTCATCCTGAACTGAGTGGCCAGCACCTGTTACATCACAGAGCCCAGGGAGCCCCACCTCCCTTGGGAGAGGAAGGCTGCAGTGAGGGCAAGGGGCCCTTCCTAGGCTTGCCAGAGTTCAGTTTCGATTGAACTTTTCCAAGACTGTTGCGTTGGTGTGTTCAAACAGCCATTGCTGGGTGAGAGAGGAGGGGTTGCAGGTATTCATGAAGATCCTGTGGTCACTTTCACTACAGTCCATGCAACTGCCACTGACAGGGTGGTACAGGGTCTTGTCCTACAAAACAGGGACACTGTCAGCCCAGCAGTGCTGGGGATAGGCACAGTCAAACAGCAGCAACAATAACAGCAATAGAGTGAGGAAGGGGCTGACTAACTGCTTACCACTTGTCTTGTCTTCCTCCTGAGCCTCCTTTGCATTTGGCATCACCAGGTGGCTGAGTTTTGGCCACTGGGATATGGGCAGAAGTGGTGCATGTCATTTCCAGGCCTGGGCCCTAATGCTGCCCATCTCCTGTGAAACATCAGTGGGCCTCATGCTGGTTTTTATTTTCATTTTTTAATGGATTCAAGTTGCCAACATTTAAGATTCTGGGAATTTCACATAAAAATCTGGATTTCTGGCTGCTCTGAAACACCAGGAAAATTGAGCATGGTAGGTCTGTAGAATTGAGTGAGTAAGCTCTACCAGGAGGGTCTACACTGTTTTTTAAAAAATACAGGTTAATTTTGACTCAGCTCTTGGTTGTTGTCAGTTCTAACTCATGGTGACCCCATGTGTGCAGAACAGGACCACTCCATAGGATTTTCAAGGTTGTGACCTTTCAGAAGCAGATCTCTAGGCCTGTCTTCCGAGGTGCCTCTGAGTGGGTTCAAACCTCCAACCTTTTGGCCAATAGTGCTAAGCTGTTTGCACTACCCAGGCATTCCTCTATACTGCTTTCTAAAAATCATGTGGGTTGCCCTGATCTCCCCCACATACTTCTGACTTACTTTCCGATATTTCCACAGCTGGTTGCCCTTCATGCTATGGCAGTCATAGAGGGTGACTGGGCTGGTGTGGGAGATGGCGTCAAAGCAGAATTTCTTGGTATGTTGGGGGTCTCCAGGCCGAATGTCTTCCCTCCAGGTGAAGGTGAACACCTGTGCATACAGGGATGTAATGAGAGGAACATCAAAGCCAGGGACACTTTTCTTTCTTCCCCATTTATTTAATCACAGAGGTCCAGAGAAGAGTCTACTGCCCATACTGCTCATCCCAATCACCCAGATTCAACAATGACCAATTCATGACCAATCTTATTGTAATTGTACCTCCACCACTAGCCCTCATCCTACATTATTTTGAAGCAAATCTCAGACATCATATCATGTCAGGTGTAAGTACATCAGTACCAAAATAAAAAACAAAACAAAACAAAAAACAAAACCAAAGTCACTGCCATTGAATCGTTTTTCCAAGGCAGTATCTCAATGGTAGTGGAATGCTCAATCTTCCTTCTGAGGAATGGCTGGTGGGTTTGAACTGCCAGCTTTCTGGTTAGCAGTCAAATGCCTTAGGCACTACGCCACCAGAGCTCCTGAGCACTTCAGTAAGTACTATATAATACTGAAAAGTTCTCAATAATTGCTTTTTAATGAAAAATATTGTATTGTGTTTTTGTTGAAAGTTTACACAGCAAATTAGGTCCCCACTTAACAATTTTTCTATAATTTCATTTACATTTTTTGACAGTATGTTAATTTCTCATTACTTCCATTCTAGTTGTTCCATTTCCAGTAATCTAGTTTTCTTGCCCCTTGCCTTCTCGTCTTTGCTTCTGAGTAAATGTTGATAGTTTGGTCTCATATAGATGATTGTTTTAAATGAGTACAGTACTCACAGATGAAATCGTTTATTTTACGAGCCAGTCTATTATTTAGCTAAAAGATGACCTCATAGAATAGTTTTAGTTCAAAATTAAAAGAGTATCTCAGGGCAATAGTCTTGGGGAGTTCTCTGGTCTCAACTGGTACAGTAAGTCTGGAGTTTATAAGAATTTGAATTCTGTTCCATATTTTGCTCCCACTCTATCAGGATCCAACTATTGTGTTCCTGATCAGAACAGTTAGTAGTGCTAGCAAGGAACCATCTAGTCAATTGATATAATATAGTACATAAAGTTTATTTATGTTCTACCTCCTAGCTTGTTGAGTAGCATCTAGGGTCTCAAAATCTTGTGAGCAGCTGTCTAAGATATAACTCTTGGTCACTACATGTCTAGAGAAAAAGAGAAGGAAGAAAACCAAAGACTCGGAGAAGAAACTAGTCCACAGAGCTGACAGTCTACATAAACTATGATGTGTTTATTTGCCAACCATGTATCTTCTTGGTCAAGTGTCTGTAGAAATCCTTTACCAATTTTTAAACTGGTTCATTGTTTTCTTATTACAGAATTTTTAGAGTTTTTAATATATTCTGGATATAAGTCCTTTATCAGATATGTCTTACAAAGATTTTTCCCCAGTCTGTGGCTGCCATTTTATATTTTCAGTAGTGTCTTTTAAAGAACAGATTTCTTTTCCCTTGAAGAAGTCCAATTTATCAATTTTTCTTTTATGAATTGTGCTTTTGGTGTATATCTAAGAAATCACTGCTTAACTGAAGGTCAAGACCCTTTTGTCTATGTTTTCTTTCTTCTTTTTTTTTTTTTTAAATTGTGATTTGGGTGAAAGTTTACAGAGCAAATTCGATAGTTCATACATATTTTGTTCCACGACATTGATTGCAATCCCCCATAATGTAACAGCTCTCTTCCCACTTCCTCCCTGTGGTTACCTTCTCCACTGAACTGCCCTTTTACCTCTGACAAAAATCAACTGTATATATGAGTGTGAGTCTATTTTTGGATTCTTTACTCTGTTCCATTGATCTATTGCCTTTCTTTATGTTGATACCACATTGTCTTGATTATTGTCACTTTATAATATAGCCTGAAATCTGGTACTATTAGTCACAAAGTTGCTTTGGCTATTCTAGGTCTTTTTCATTTCCATATGAATTTTAGAATCAACTTTTCAATTTCTATAAAAAAAATCTGCTGAGATAGTTATGAGGATTGTGTTGAATCTACAGCTCAATTTGGAGAGAATCAACATCTTATCTATATTGCATCTTCCAATCCATGAACATGGTACATATAAATTTATTTGGAGCTTCTTTAATTTCTATCAGCAATGCTTTGTAGTTTTCAGTGTATAGGTTTTTCACATCTTTCGTCAGATATATATTTGACTATAATAGTTCATAGTTTTTCATGTTATTATAAATATTTGTTTTAAATTTTAACTTCTGATTCATTAGTAGTATACAGAAAAACAATTGATGTTTGTGTCTTGCAACTTTGCTAAACTCAGTTATTAGTTATACTAGCTTTTCTGTAGATGCAATTAAAAATGATGCCTTTGAATTATGGTGTTAACAAAGAATATTAAATATACCATGGGCAGTCAGAAGAACAAACAAATCTGTCTTGGAAGGACAGCCAGAATGCTCCTTTGGGGCAAGGATAGTGAGACTTTGTCTTAAGTACTTTGGACATGTTATAATAGGAGGGACTAGTTGCTGGAGAAGAACACCATGCTTGGTAAGACAGAAGGTCAGTGAAAAAGAAGATGATCTATAATGAGATGGATTGACACAGTGGCTGCAACAGTGGGCTCAAACATCAGAATGGTTGTGAGGACGGTACAGGACTGGGCAGTGCTTTATTGTGCTGTACACAGGATTGCTAGGAGTCAGAAATAACTCAAGAGCATCTAACAACAACAACTGGATTTTCTACTATATAGATGATCATATCATCCATAAAGGCAGTTTGACTTATTTCTTTCCCAACTGAATGACTTCTTTCTTTTTCTTGCCTTATTGCATAGGCTAGAACTGCCAATACAGTATCAAACAGAAATGATGAGATCAGACAGCCTTGTCTTGTTTCTGATCTTAGGAGGAAAACATTCAGACTTTAACCATTAAGCATGATGTTAGTTTTAAGTTTTTTACTTGTTGTTGTTAGTTGCTGCTGAACTGATTCTGACTCTTAGTAATGCCTTATTTGTAGAGTAGAACTGCTCCATAGGGTTTTCAAGGCTGTAACCTTCCAGAAGCAGATTGCCAGGCCTGTCTTCTGAGGTGTCTGTAGGTGGCTTTAAACCACTAATCTTTTGTCTAGTAGTTAAGTGGTTAATTATTTGCCATATACCTGTTGCCCTTTACTAATCTGAGGAAGTTCCCTTCTATTCCTGGTTTGCTGAGGGATTTTTTTTTCTTTAATAAAAAATGGATGTTGAATTTTGTCAAATGTTTTCTCTGGGTTTATTGAGATAATTGTATATTTTTTTTTTTCCATTTTTTAATATGGTGAGTCACTCTGATTAATTTTCTAATTTTAAACCAATTATGCATTCTTAGGATAAATCACATTTGGTTATGATGCACTGTCCTTTTTATATATGGTTGAACATGATTTTCTAAAATTTTATTTAGAATATTTACATCTATGTTCACGAGGGATATCGGTTTGTAGTTTTCTTGTAATGTCTTAGTCTGGTCTTGGAATTAGGGTAATGTTGGACTCATAAAATAAGTTAGAATGTATTCTGTCCTTTACAATTTTCTAGAAAAATATTTGTAGAATTGGTAACATTTCTTGCTTAAATATTTGATACAGTTCATCAGTGAAGCTATATGGCCTGGATTTTTCTTTGTGGGAAGGTTTTTAATTTCATTGTAAATATCTTTAATAGGGCTATTCAGATTATCTATTTCTACATGAGTGAGCTTTGGTAGTTTGTGTCTTTAGTAAATTTGTCCATTGCTTCTAAGTTGTCAAATTTACTGGCATAAAATTGTTCTTAACACTCTTAATATTTATAGAATCTATAGTAGAGCCCTGATGGCATAATGCCTAAGGCATTTGACTGCTAACCAGAAGCCTGGCATTCAAACCCACCAGCCATTCCTTGAAAGGAAGATTGGGCAATCTACTTCTGTAGTGATATCGCCTTGGAAACCAAAGGAGGGGTTGCTATGAGTTGGATCCAACTTGATGGCAGTGACTTTGGTTTTTCTGGTTTTATAATGATGTTACTTGTCTCATTTTGATATTAGTAATTTATGTCTGCCCCCTTTTCCCCCCTGATTCTGGCTAGAGGTTTACCAATTTTATTGACTGTCTCAAAGAGCCACCTTTTGGTTTCATTTATTTTTTCTCTATTGTTTTTCTGCTTTCTAGTTCATTGATTTCCACTTTGATCTTTATAACTTCCCTCCTTCTGTTTACTTTGGTTTCCATTTGCTCTCCTTTTGCTATATTCTCAAGTCATTTATTTGAGATCTTTTCTAAGGTTGGCATTTAATGCTGTAAATATCTCCCTAAGTACTGCTTTAATAGCACCCAACACAGTCTAATATGTTGTGTCTTCATTCTCAGCCAGTTCAAAATATTTTCTAATTTCTCTTTTAATTCATGGGTTATTTAGAATTGTCTTATTTAGTCTGCAAATATTTGGAGATTTTAAGAGTTCTTTCTGTTATTGATTTCTAATTTAATTGAACAGAGGTAAGGGAACATATTTTGTATGACTTGAATACTTTTAAGGTTATTGAGAATTGCTTTATTTCCCAGAATATGGGTCTGCTTGGCAAATGCTCCCTGTGCATTTGAGAAGAATGTGTATTCTGGTGTGGTTTTATGGAATGTCCTATAATTGTCAATCTAGCCATTTTGCTGATAGATACTATATCCTTGCTTATTTTTTGCCTATTTTGTCCTGTTAATTATTGAGAGAGCAGTACATCATATGATGGCTCCGTACCCTGGAGTGTTTTAGACTCATATTTCTCCCTTCACAGGTTCATGGAAGCTCTATGTTCAGGATGGCTGAGGGTTTAGGTGGCATAGATTCCATTCAGGTAGTTTATTTGTCATTTTTTCCTCCTCAGAAGGTAGAGACTGGCCCAGCCACAAACCCAGCATCATGTTGCTACTTATCTCAGTGAATCATTGCAGGCATTAATATGGACTGCCTGCCACACATTAGTCTCCATGAGGCTTAGTTTCCTGTGCACCCTCTATCCAGGCTCCATGCTCTTCCTGGTCTCC